ATGACCACTCAACTCCAACTGAGTCAATGCTCTCTGCTTCTTCTCACACAACTGATGCGGGGACACAGAGAGCATGTGTGTTAAACCCTCATCCAGCAGACCATTCGGCCAGGAAAAAGAAAACTGGTTTTTGTTTTTTTTTTTTTTTTTAATTCTCTGGCAGATTTAAGACCTGCTCTCTTATCTCTATAGAAAATTGGGGTTGGGAACCAGCAGTTAGTGTAATGGCTATGTCGCTGGACTCCCACGTAGTCAACCGCAGTTCGCGTCCCAGACCTAGTGGCTTAAAACTCACGCCAGGTGCGTGTGCGTGCGTGCCCAAGATCCCGAGAGGAGAATGGAGAAGGGACTACAGGGGGACCAGCCCCCTTGGGGGGTGATTTCTCGCTTTCTGTCTCTGTGTCTGTCTCTCTGTCTGGTGAGTGCACGTGCCCTATAGCAAAAACCTCTCCAAAAAAAAAGAAAATTGGAGTTATGTGCTAAGTCAAGTAAATCAAAAGGGAAAAGGACAAAAAAGGGGGGAAATACTGTTAGCAATCTAATTCCAACAGTATTTAAGGTGTGTTGCAAATAGAAAAGGATTAAGGTCCATCAAGGTGGTAGAGGTTAAGAAGAGAGTCTAGGGGGTCAGCAGGTGGCATGGTGGTTAAGGCACTGGATTCTCACATGGCCAACTGCAGTTTGAGTCCTGAGTCGGGCAGCTTGATAATCACAACAAATACATACATGCAGTTTTTTGTTTGTTTGTTTTTAAGAAGAAGAAGAAGAGAAAAAGGAGGAGAAGAGGAAGAAGAGGAAGAAGAAGAAGAACAAGAGGAAGAAGAAGAGGAAAAAGAGGAAGAGGGCGAAGAAGAAGAAAAAGAAGAGTCTACATCTTTTTTAGAAAGTGTAGATAGGCCCTTCTTCAAGAGACAGACAGCTCCATGGCTCCTGCGATCTAGCCATTTGGGGAGAAAGGAAGATGTCCCACTGATAACTGGGCCTCCAGCATCCAAAACTCGCGTGTTTGGGAAGAAACCGACCATCCACCAGATGACTAGAAATCGCTGCAGGACCACAAGAAATATGGGGAAGCAGGAAAATACCTCTCCTCCCACAAGGGAAAAGGATAGCTCTTTATCCACACACAGTTCAATGGAAATCATGGAAATGTCTGATAAAGAATTCAGAACATTCATAATGGCAAAGCTAACAGAGATGGAAGAGAAGAGAGACAAGGAACTGCTGAAGAGAAAGGAGAAAGGAGTTAGGAAGGAGAAAGGAGTTGAAGAGTTCCAGGAGGTGAGGAAATTCATGCTAGATCTAAAAGAGGAATTTCACACTTTACAAAAGAATCAGATGGAACTGTTAGAGATGAAGGCTATAATACAAGAAGTCAAAATCTCCCTTGAAAGTATTAAAAGCAGACTAGATCATACAGAAAATAGAATCTCTAATGTAGAAGAGAAAATGGTTGGCCTAGAAAAATCCACCGTGAAGACTGAGAAAATGGCCCAAAAATTTGAGAATAATATGCAAGAAGTACTAGATACAATTAAACGTCCAAACATCCAGATAATAGGCATCCCAGAAGGCGAAGAGACTCATAAGGGCATTGATAATCTATTCCATGAAATCTTACAAGAAAATTTTCCAAACCTGGAGAGGCACTCAAAGATTCAGACCCAAGAAATACAGAGGACCCCAAATAGAATCAACCCAAGAAGATCTTCTCCAAGACACATTATAGCCAGATTGACCAAAACCACAGACAAAGACAAGATACTAAGACTGGCAAGAGAAAAAAGGCAAGTTACCTACAAAGGGTATCCCATCAGACTAACGGCAGACCTCTCATCGGAAACAATGAGAGCGAGGAGAGAATGGGAAAATGTATTCAAAGTATTAAGGGAAAAGCAATTTCAACCGAGAATTCTGTACCCAGCAAGGTTATCGTTCATTTGGGAAGAAAAGACACGAACTTTCCCAGATAAACAAAACCTGAAAGAATTTACCAGCACCAGACCGGATCTCCAAGAAGTTCTTAAGGGAGTGCTATGTCAGTAAAATTAAATGCAGACACACAGAAATAAGAGTTCAGAAACTAAGAAAATGGGCAACTTAATTGTAGGGCCAAAAGCTGGAGTTGAGTATTACATCCCAGATTTCAATCTGGAACATCGAACCTCAACAGATACAGAAGAAAGATTAAGTACATGAGACTGAACTGATGAAACAGTATTCTACGACTTGACTAAAATATTGCTGCTTTTCTTCTAAGCTTTGTTGTCCGGTTTTAAGGATTTTTGTCCTGTCTTCAGCTATCAATAGATTCATGTTCCTACTATTTGAACAGAATACTAACCTGTTTCTAGGCTTTAAGTTTCAAAGAAATATCCTTACCAGTTCAAAACTGCTTTTCTTGAAACCATCGGCTGATCTTGCTATTGAAAGTAGTTAGATTACTTATGATATTGTGTGACCAACGAAATGTTGGGGGGAAAGGGATTGAAGACAACTGTAGACAGCAGAGATAGTGTAATAAGAGAGTGGAATAGGGCAGAGGGTTAGACATGGGGTAAAAAACATATATATGAAAGTAGAAATGGAATATTATGGATGATAACATGCATTATTAAGCCACTATGCAGTATATTCTCAATGGGAAACCACATTTAGAATGTTGTGATGATGCCTAGGGAATGAATGTAAATTAACAAAAAAAAATTTCAGAGAAGAAAAAAAAAGGCATTAGAAATACCTATTTGATGACTGCAGTTAAGCTATATAGCCCTAGTTAGGTGCTACTTTACAGTATGTTCATTCTATTCACTGAGGTTTATGCCTAAAGTCAGACTTGTGTTCATGGATATGTACATATCAGCTGTGCTTGCTATTGAAAATATTTAGATTTATTAAGATATTTAGTGAAACAATAAAATGGGGGAGGCATAGAAAGCAACAATAGATACCAGACACAGTGTGGGAGGAGGGTGGGAGATGGCAGAGGGTGAGATAGGGAATCAAGGATGGGAAAAACGGCAAAATATACAGAAAACAAGAAATGGACAATGATTTGTTGACAATAACACATATGTTGATGTGCTTGATTGAGCCAATATACAGTGTATTCTCAATGGAAAAATCTCATTTTGTATGCTATAATGATGTACAGTGAATGAATGTAAATAAAGAAAGAAAAAAATGTAAAAAAAAAAAAAAAGAAAGTGTAGATAAAGGAAGGAGAGTGCTACCATGGATCGCTGATCCCTCATATATTTTATTCTTAGCAATGACCAGCACTAGATGCTTTCAAACCATGATTTTTAGAGACCCACAGTATTCTTTGGTTCAAATATTGCTCACAAATTTGTCTTAATTTCTTAATTTTTTTTGAAGAGGTTTTTGCTATAGGGCATGCACGCTCGCCAGAAAGAGAGAGACAGAGAGACAGAAAGTGAGAAATCACCCCCCAGGGGGATGGCCATGCTGCAATCCCTTATCCTCCATTCTCCTCTTGGGATTTTGGGCACACACGCACACACACACACACATGCCCAGTGTGAGTTTTAAGCCACCGGGTCCAGGACTGGAACCGTGGTTGACTACATGGGAGTCCAGTGATGTAGCCATTATGTAATCTAGCCATTACGCCATCTGCTGGTCCCAATTTCTTAAATTTTTTAAAAGATAATTTTACTATAAGGTATATTGCTCACCAAACACAGAGAGAGAGGACAGAGAGGCAGAAAGTGAGAAATCACTCCCCAAGGGGTGTAGATAAAGGAAGGAGAGTGCTACCATGGATCGCTGATCCCTCATATATTTTATTCTTAGCAATGACCAGCACTAGATGCTTTCAAACCATGATTTTTAGAGACCCACAGTATTCTTTGGTTCAAATATTGCTCACAAATTTGTCTTAATTTCTTAATTTTTTTTGAAGAGGTTTTTGCTATAGGGCATGCACGCTCGCCAGAAAGAGAGAGACAGAGAGACAGAAAGTGAGAAATCACCCCCCAGGGGGATGGCCATGCTGCAATCCCTTATCCTCCATTCTCCTCTTGGGATTTTGGGCACACACGCACACACACACACACATGCCCAGTGTGAGTTTTAAGCCACCGGGTCCAGGACTGGAACCGTGGTTGACTACATGGGAGTCCAGTGATGTAGCCATTATGTAATGTAGCCATTACGCCATCTGCTGGTCCCAATTTCTTAAATTTTTTAAAAGATAATTTTACTATAAGGTATATTGCTCACCAAACACAGAGAGAGAGGACAGAGAGGCAGAAAGTGAGAAATCACTCCCCAAGGGGGATGGCCACACTGCAATCCTTTCTCCTCTATTCTCCTCTCAGGATTCTGGGCATGCTTGCACATGCACCTGGCGAGAGTTTCAAGCCTCTGGGTCTGGGACACAAACCACAGTCAGTCATGTGAGAGTCCAGCAATGAAACCACCATGGCATCTGCTGGTCCCAATATCTAAAATTTCCATTAACTGTACAATTCTTTATCGTATGCCAGATATTGGGTGACATGTCTTGCATACATTACTTTATTTCATTCTCACTGCTATATTCATTCATAAATGAGAGATTTGAGCTTGAGCTTGAGAGAGGGTAAATCCCTATGCAAAGTCACACCACTAATAAATGTACCAGGCAGGACTTAGACCCAGTCCAAGTATCTCCAGGGCCTACACTTTTATTCACTAGGCCATGCAGTAAACCTGATGGCTGGGAAGCCCTTGGCACTGTCTAGACTAACAGGGTCTCCCAGGAAAGGAACACTGAATGAGCAGAAAGAAGGAAGGAGCGGAAGATGGGGAGGATACAGCAAATTTACTCTAAAGCAGTCGAAGGATCCTCATGATAACACTGTGGAGGACACATAGAAGCATCAGGCTCTGCATCTGGCAGTTTACAGGAGAAGGCTGGATAAAGGATGCACTGCCCATTTTTCTGCCTTGACTTTAGCTAACGCTGCTCTTCCTTGCTCCTAGAAGCTACTTACCTGATAGGGGTACAAGGTAACCCCATTGGTTCTTGACAGGGACCAGGTGCCATCCAGGTACTGATGAGCCTGGATGGCCACCGAGTTGAGGATATTCCCATTGCTGGGACTGGTGGCCATCTGGAGGCTGACCTTGGCTTGGTGGGTTGGGGATCCACTCTTCTTTTCTGCTCCATTGCTGACCCCAAGGCTGTTGGGTTTGCTGCTATGCTTGTTGACAAAGCCTGTGTAGTTGGAGGTGGCATAGGCGGCGGGTACAAAGGCCCAATCCCTGGGCTGCTGGAGCCCACCCACATGCCGAGACCCCACCAGGGTAGGGATGCTGGAGAGCGGTGGGGGTGAGCCAGGGGAGGCATCGTAGTGTTCACTACCAGCTGCCTGCTCCAAGGTCAGCACCATCTGGATGGCCTCCTGCTTCAGTTGGTTCAGGTGTGTGGCACAAATGTCACAGCGGTTGTCTCTGTCATTCCATGCCTTCCGGATGGTATTGGGGACCTGGAGTTTGTCATGAATCACCGCTGAGAAAGCAGGATCCTGGAGAACACAGAAGCAAAGAAAAGGAGAGCCTGTAACTCAGGACTGGCAAGTACAATTTAGTTTAAGTTAAGCCCTAAATGTATCCAAAAAGTTTGAGTGTTTGATTGGCATCCAACAGAAATGAGAAGTCAGACTGGCAGAAGAACCTTCATAGTTGACAAACACATTGGACAAATACAAAATGTTTATAATGAAAACTTTAAAGAAGTTCTTAAGTACAATATCTCCTTCCAGGCCAGCCAAATACAAGTATTCTTATTATTGTGTCCACTAAGGAATTATAACCATACCTGGTCTCACCACCCGCCCCCAAGGTATTGACACAGAAGACACAAACATCTATCTGTCCAGGTGTAATGGGGGTGGGAGAGGCAGTCAGCACAATCATCCTGGATCCATGTACTGCAGCTCCCTGTTACCCATAGAAAGTTGGCAATAGATGGAACTGTCACTTGTAAACTGGAATAGAGACTGTTCTAAGAAAATCTTGGCCTCATCAGTACTGTGTGCTACGTGCCACTGGAAGAAAACCAAATGAAACATTCTAGACCAGAGTTCCAGCCAGCTCTAGTAGCACAGCGAACCTCTGCAGATCAGCTGTGTTAACTACATACTCACATTTGGCATTTGCCCCGCGGCAAGTCGGTCATATCTATATCTATGTAGCTGATCACCCGACCCATTAAAACAAAAATATCTCTGTGACAAACAGTCTAAGATACTTTCCTCCACAAACTTCATGTATAATTGCTATGAAAAAAGTCTTTAGCTCAGAGATCGATATCTATATGAAATCAGAAAAGGGGTCTAAAGTAGATGGTATCTCTCATTTACTTCATTGTCATTTTTACAGAGAAGCAGGACCATATAAAGAAACAAGTACTAGGAATATTAATTAAGTATTAAAATATTTTTCAGGCCCAGCTGCTGTGATACAACAGTAATGTAAGTGCCCTGCGAGGCTAGAAGCCACTGGGGATTCCCAGAACACCAAGGGTATGTATGTGGGCACCCAAAATCCTGAAAAGCTGTAAGACTGGGGAAAGGAGATTGTGGTATGATAAAAGCCTGTCAAGGGTGCTTCTCTCTTTCTTTCTCTGTCTCTCAAATATGCACATAGGTACTCCCTATCATTATTTATTTATATATATCTGTAAATTTTTAGTTCTGCTACTCATTAATCTCACTGAACCTCTCTGTCACACAAGCTCATGGACGATCCCTGTTTTAAGATCCGTCTAGTACTATGACTCTCTTTTGGGGGGAAATTTAGATTGTAGAGTACTCTGTCTACATATATAGACAGAGCCATGAAGCCACTTTGGAGGCCTGGTTGAACTTTTGATGTTCAACACTTATTGAAAATAATTGATGAAGCTCATCTCAATACTTATTTTCCTTTAGAGCATTAGGAGAAAATCTGCTTTTCTGAAATTTGCTGTTAGTTTGTATGGGAGGAAGCCCCATCAGGGCTAAATAGGTTTGTTTGAGCAATGGATGAGGGGGCTAGTGTAGGGCAGCCAGGGTGGGCAGGAAGATGATTGGTGGGCTGGTCGTTCTTAATTACGATCTATCTTGATTATGTGTTCCAGCATTTTGTTTTCCTTGTTTAACTACCCTGAACAGCTCCTCAGCATGCACTGATTAATTGATTAATAAATCAAGAGGCCTCTTTACACAGCAGAAGCAAGGAGTGGCTCAGGAGGTAGAAACTCAAGACAGTCACATAAAATGATGGGAAACAACAGGAGGTCAAGGTTGATCAAGTCTCAGTTGATGACGTGATATGAACCATATGAAGCCTGCCTTGTGGTGACTTCTTAGTGACAACTACTTTGTCCAGAGAGTCTCTAATCACAACTCAGAGCATGTGGGACATGAAGGGGCCCCTTGGGGGTATTCTATAGCAGACTATTACGTCAGTTTACAGATAAAGAAACAGCTCTGAAAGAATTGAGTTTGGACTGTACGCAGATTACTTGACCACTAGTCCATGATTTTTCACTTCAAGAGTCAAAGAGCCATATCCATTAGTAATAGACTTATGTTTTGCACAGACATGTAAGCTTTTCACCTCACTCACCTAGGAAATATTCATTCATTCAACAGGAATTTATTGGGCCAGTCAGTGGCAGGGTAATTAAGGTGACTGGATCCCTCATGGCTGACTTTGCTATTCAAATTCCAGACCCAGAGACTTGAGAAAAATGCCAAGCATGTGTGCATCTATGCTCAAAACGCCAAGAGAAAAAAGAAGAAGGGATTGTGGTATGACCATCTCCCCTGGAGGGGTGCTTTCTCACTTCTCTCTCTTCTTCTCTGTCTCTCTGGCAAGCTCACACGCCCTATAGCAACAACAATAAACAAACAAACAAACTTATTCAGGCCTTCATCTTTGCCGAGATGTAGACTTTTTGATTCTTCATGTAACATTGCATAACAAGAATTTTTCCTCATCAATAAGTATCATTTGAAAATGTGGTTTTTATTGACATCACATTTTAGTTGTTCCGTAATTCATTTATTGATTCCTACATCCTACTGCATAATTGAAGAAAATGGGGGAAATCAGTAGACTAGTATTTACATGTAATACAGAACTGATGCTTGATGGGTTCAAGTCATCAGACCATTTAGTTTTAAGAAGCTTCAAATTAATCATTTAGCCAAGCATATGAAGTAGTGCCAAAGTAAGGAGGCCGCATTCATGTATCACAGTTTATTTTAGACCCAGCCTTTAGATTCCAGGTGTGACTTTAACATAGAGACATAGCCACTTCACACAAACTACAAGTGCCATCCCTGGTTCTAAAGATTTCTTCCTCTTTTCTTCCTGTTTTTCACTCTCTTCCTTGAAGCAGTACCTTCTTGATTCAGCCTATTGCTATTTGCTGCTCAGCTTCCAATACTTAACAAGTAAGTAGGTATGTTGTCACCTAACACGCCAGGCACTGCACCAGGCTGGGGACATGAGAATATGGGGAATAATTCCCATCTTCTATGAGTTCACAGTCCAGGGGACCTTGATAGTTCCAAATACCAAGTCCCTCTGCTGCCACCTCTAGTCTAGTCTGTAGCAACTCACAGAACCAGTCAACACACACTCAGACGCATGAAATGTCAGCAAGATCTCAGTTCCTTACCACTTCCTCCAGCCATACCTGTGCTAACCAAACCATGTACTGCAAAGGGTAAAAAGCAAGCAAGCAAACAAAAACATTGTGGTTTCCATGGCTGGGCTCACTGTCACTATCATGGGCACAGAGAGCCAAGAAGTAGCCAAACCCCACTGTCATCTCATCTGGGGAGGAGGAGGAAACCCGAGATTGATTCTTGGATGAAACTGCTGGCTGATATCAAAGAAGTAGTCCTTAAATTAAGCAACCCTTGATCTGAAACGCTACGTTACTTCTTATCATCAAAAGGCCTCGGTAAGTCAAGAGACACATCTATGGAAACTAAAATCCTTTTCAAGTGCTTGTCCACACATTATAAATATTTTAGTGTGACTCAAAAACTTCAAAGAGGGATGGTCAACAGACACAACTTTCTGTATGTGGTGAAATAAATAGGATGCTACATCAAGAGGGAGAGTAGTAATAAAGATGAGGAAAAGGGAAAAGGACAAGGAGTCTTCAGAGCCATGGATGGCAAACATCAGTGTTTTATGACATGGATAGAAAAAGAACTGCAATGGATTCTGGAGACAGACTAAGGAAAGGTCAAACCAGGACCCAGAGACAGAATGCATGACCTCTACCTAGCCCATTTAATTAGACATTTGTACTGTCTAATTCTGATCCCTCCTGTGGACTTGGGAAAAAAGTCAAATGGGAATAATGATGAACCCACACATGAGCTGAACTTCTACGTTTTTGGTTTGTTTGTTTGTTTGCTTGTTTGTTTTAATTTCCTAGAGAGCATGTGAGTTCCCCAGAGACAGACAGACACAGAGGAAGAAAGTACTCTTTAATGGAGAGTGGTCACTCTGCAATCTCTTGTCCTCCATTTCTCCATCCTGTCAGGAATTTAGGCACACACACACACACTTGCCTCATGTTTCTCAAGCCACTGGGACCAAGATTCAAACTGCACAATCAGCCATGTGGATCCAGCTCCTTTAACCACTAGGTCATGAGGCTAATTTGAGAACCTCTATTTTGAAAGACCCTATTTTTATTACAACATATATGAAATAGGTTGTTGGCACCTGGACATTATTTTCATCCTAAATTTTTTTTTTGAGAGAGATTTTCGCTATAGGGCACATGCGCTCGCCAGACAGAGAGAGACATAGAGACAGAAAGCAAGAAATCACCCCCCAGGGGGGATGGTCACACCGCAATCCCCTCTCCTCCATTCTCCTCTCGGGATCTTGGGCGCGCACGCACATGCGCCCGGCGTGAGTTTTAAGCCACTGGGTCCAGGACACGAACCGCGGTCGACTACGTGGGAATCCAGTGACATAGCCATTACACTAACTGCTGGTTCCCCATCCTAAATTTTTTTAATTTTGGTATTCTACACTCAAAACACTCATTCTTCCAGAAAATACACAAAATCTTTTTTTTTAGGTCTCACCTCCTCCATAAAGAAGAATTCAAGATGACACCAAGGAAACTGGTAAAGTTACTTGGAAGGAAGGTTAGGTATAGATGAAGTTAACATTCAGACACCTAAATCTGCCCAAGTAGTGATCAGTGCGGAAGAGCAAAAAACAACAACAAAAAAAAACACCTCCACAAAATGGTTTTCCGATCCTTTTATTGCTCTTCTACTGCTTCTAGAGGATATTTCAGGAAAAATGGGGTCTCCTGCTACATCCCCTATGGGTCTCTCATAGTTTACTGACACTGTCCGGTTGACTCACACATCTTCTCACAGACTTACCTAGATTACAACAAAAATCTTTCTTCCTCCTCACTGACAATCATTTCCCAGACAATCATATCCAACCCCACGGCTTCCATGGTCGTCTATGTCCTGGCAACTTGAAATTCTCTCTCTAGCCCTGTCTGACCTTTCTTCTAAACATCAAGCCTTATAAATGGGGTCTTCAAAAAGTTCATGAAAAATGTGTATTATGAAAAAGCTATGCATAGATTTTCATATTTTATACACTAGACTTGTACTTTAATTTCATTTTTTTTATAAACTTTCTGAATTCTCTATTTGTATGTAAAGGCCCCCAGACCATATCAGCCAGATAAATACTCTTCAAACTGATTATTCAAAAGTAATTTTCTTTACCTCTAAACCTACTCTTATTCTGGTAATCACTAGCTAATTATCCACTCAGGGGTCCATTTGAAGGTCCAGGCTAGAAATTGAGAACATTATTTCTCCTTCTTTCCCTCACACCTAGTCACCAAATTTGGTAGATGGTACCTGCTATAAACCCTTGAACTAGTCCTACTCTCCAAGCCCACAACCTTGTAAATGATTTTAGCATCACTCATGCCACCAGAATCTCCCCAAGTCTAGCCTTGACCTCACTCTGTTTTCCTAAACCTTCATTCTAAGAATTATCTTATAGTCTGTGGTTTTATTGGTAGACTTATTTCTCTATTATATTCTAAGCTAATTAAAGAAAAATATTCTTTCTTTTCATCTTCTTTTTTTTGTCTGTTAGAGGGCACCTGCACTAACCAGAGAGAAACAGAGAGAGGAAGAGGAGAAAGCACTCCATGGGTAGTTATACAGCAATTTCTTCTCTTCTATCTCTCCTTCCTTTCAGGATTTTGAGAACACACACACATGTGCCTGGCATTTTTTATTTTTTTATTTTTTTATTTTTTGGAGAGGTTTTTGCTATAGAGTATGTGCGCTCGCCAGACAGAGAGAGACAGAGACAAAAAGCGAGAAATCACCCCCCGGGAGGGATGGCCATGCCACAATCCCTTCTCCTCCATTCTCCTCACGGGATCTTGGGCACGTACACACATGCGCCCAGCGTGAGTTTAAGCCATCAGGTCTGGAACTTGAACCACAGTTGACTACATGGGAGTCCAGTGACACAGCCATTACACTAACTGCTGGCCCCCCTGGCATGTTTTTCAAGCCTCACGGTCTGAAATTTGAACTGGATGGTTGGTCATATGGGGTGTGGCTGTCTTAACCGCCAGGCCACAGAGCCAGCCCCTTTCTTTCCATATTTAATTTTCTAGACTTTAGTATAGTCCCACTGTAAAATAATGGTTCAACAAACATTTTTGAACTGAATGAATGAATTAATTACTTAATGAAAGAAATTCAACCAAGGCTAAAACAATAAAATAATCAAGTCAATCTAGGTCCATCATTCTTCTCTTTTTTTTCTAAATGAGTTAGTCACCTGTTATATAACATATATATTTGTCATGAGACAAACTGTTTCATAGCTAACACTAACTGTTGTAGGTTTCCAATCATCTCTGTTCTTTCTGGCTTAAGGGCCTCATGTGGGTCAACCACAGTCCTAGCATCTTCTTTTTCTTACTGGTTATTTCTTAAATCAGTAGAATAGTTTCTCTGATCTCAGCTAATCTACTTATCTTTTTCCTAAATTCCCAAGAGAATAACACTTATATAGAAATAATTTTTTTAAGGTTTTATTCTTAACCATCAGACTAGTTCATCAACAAGAAGACAGGAGAAATCTACCCAAAAGAAAACTCCAAGGCCAGCTGGTGACCTGTGGTTAAGGTGCTGGATCCCACAAGGCCAACTACACGGTTCATGGTTCCTAACCCAAAAGCTTGAGAAACGTTAACAGTCACATGTGCATGTGTGCCCAAAATCTCAAAAGGAGGGAAAGATAAAGGACAGAGAGTGACCATTTCCCTTGGGGTGGGGGTGCTTTCTCACTTTCCCTCCCTCCCCCTTTATCTCTTTCCAGAAAGTGCACATGCCCTCTAGCAAAAAAAAAAAAAAAAAAATCTTAAAGAAAAAAGAAAGAAAGAAAACTCCAGACCAATATTACCCACTGAGTCTAAAGCAGGTAGCAGGCTTATTTTCTAAGAGCTAGCTGCCAGCTTTTCATGCATGACATGGGCCTGGTAATGAAGGCTGTAGAGTCTGCAGAACTTAATCAAGAAAACAACAACTACTGCCTAGGCAGGCAAAGCTATTTGCTAACATTCCTTATTGCTTTCTATGTCATTTCATCCTCTGAGGGCTATCTTGCTCAGCAATAAAATGCTAATGCCACTGCTGAGGACAGAAAGATTTTCCACATTATTTTAGTCAAATGGGTACTTGGAGTATGTTCCTCCAAAGTCTCTGTGTCTGTGATGAAGGCAACAGCTGGAGTCAGTGTCCAGCGTGTGTTGTACAAGTTCTTGTTGATGTTTGCTTCTAAGTTATTATTCTACAGGCCTCTAGTGACAAGCTTGACAAGGCTTACGCTGATCTTCAAAGGCAGTTTTCTTCTACTTTGCTCCTAAACTTTCTTCCTTTTCCTCCAATGTTGTTGTTTCCAGAGGCCAGAGTGGAAAATAATGCCCTGAGAATGAAATGTTGTGTTCCCTTCCTCTGGCAATCTCCCAGAAGATCAATGGCATTTATCTTCGCACTCCTTATAATCCCCTCCATGGCTCAGTTTGTATTCCCGCTACCCCCATCACATATCCCTTGAGTGTCCTTTCTTCCTTAAGAACCACAAAGTTGTTCCTAGCACTTCTGCCCCTCAAAGACAGGTGTTGACATGAATAATTCTTTTTTGAATGAAAACTAAAAAATGGAAAGTTTGCAACCTTAGGTGGAACTAAACCAAGAATACCAATACTTTCATCCATAGTTAAACATTCAGATATTTGGATTGGAATGTCTCTCAAACAAATATTTTGTTTTGTTTTGTTTTTTCCCCTCAGCCATTTCAGAAGGGGAGAAAAATCAAGGGTTTAGCCAAACCTTAATTAGCCACTGTCAAAGAGGAATGTTTAAACTTATGAAATCTAAAGATACTTCCCAAATTCTACCCAGTGGATTTATTTCTTCCTTAGGAAAAATTTTCTTCCTTGATGCTCCCTGACCTGTACATCGCATTCTCCACAGGTGCTTGAGAGGAAGGAAGATCAAAAGGATGCAGAGAGTCATTATCACTGCAGAGTCTTTCTCTTCTCACTCAGTTACCCTGTTGGA